AAGAGTATAGCAGTAAAAACTCAGACAAAAAGGAGGGTAGTCTTGAACTCTGGCTCTAGTCTTTGCCAGCTGTGTTAAGTTCTGGCAAGTTCTTTATGCCTTGGTTTCCTAATCAGTGAAACAGGAAAAACAGAACGCACTTCATATTTATGAGGTTGTGAAATGAGTGAGATAATCAAGATGAAGCTTGTAGAGCAGCATTGGCACATTTTATATGCTCAAGAAATGGCAACTATTGGTATCAGTTCAATTCAGTGCCTAAGAGGTGCCAGATATCCTGTGTGGGATACAGAATAATTCTCCCAAGGGTCTTATTTGGAAAGATGTTTTTTTTAAAGGTGACAGGGCCATGGGGAAAGAGCTCTTCAGAAACTCATTGTGAAAATGCACTCTGGTTTACAATTCTAGTGGCAGTAATATAGCATATTGGTTTAAAGCATGGTTTGGAGAGGAGGGGCACAATCTGTAGACAGAATCAAGTCACCACCCCCTTCCAAATATGCTCATCATGACCTACTGAGTTCATGAATGTTATTTAACAGGACAATAGGAACTTTACAGATAGGATGTTGAGATAGAATAATCTTATCCTGGATTAATTATGTGGGTAGACTCAACCTAATCACATGAATCAGCATCAGTGGGGAAACTGTTTCAGCTGTGGTCAGACAGAGTTTAGAAAATGAAAGGTGGATCAAAGATATGCACTGTGAGACCTTGAAGTAAGGTTGTTGCCTTTGGACATGGAAATGGAGGCGGGAAGCTAAGGACTGTGGCAATCTACACAAATTGGGAAAGCCCTCAGTATGCAGCCAGCAGGAAAGCGAGGATAGTGGTATAACTGAAAAGGAACTAGATTCTGCTAATCTAAATATCCCCAAAACACATCTTCCCCGAACATCCCCAGAAACAATGCAGTCCTGCAGGCATCTTGATTTTAGCTCAGTGAAACCTATGTCAGATTCTTGGCCTAGAGAACTACCCAATGATAATGTGTTTTGTTTGAAACACATTGTCTAAATATGTGCTCATTTGTTGCAGCAGAAAATATTCTCTGCTTTTCAAATTTACAAAATATGAGAGATAGCATTGCTCATGGGTTAAGAACATAGATTTGCAGACCAAGTAGCCTGGGTTTTAATCCCAGATGTGACACTTGTTAGATGTGAGATCACAGGCAAATCACATACATAGGTAGCATGACTTCTGGATTTTATCATCTGCTCCAGGAATAATACTCTAGCCAATCATACTAGTTGGGATAAGGAATTATGATAAAAATAAAGAGACACAATATATTAAAATTCGAAAACAAACACATTTTTTCTCTCATTGTAGTTGAGGGTGAGTGTCCTGTAGGGGGTCCATTTTTTAGATACCATTGGGTTTCTGTAAGAGGTGATTTCTGAAATTGCTCTAGTCTCACTGACAAAAGTCTAGGGATGATGTGATCCCCTTAAAAAAGTAGAGAGGGGGCCCTCCCTGGTGGCGCAGCGGGTTAAAGCACAGCACTAAGAAGCTTAAGCCACTTTCGCATGAGTTCGATCCCGCCTGCCCGGGAAGAGATCCACATGGCGTGGCAGACCTCTCCTGGCCCGCCCGCTGCTCCCCTCAGCAGTGTACCTTGTCCATCTGCCTGTTCTTCTCCCCACTCTGTACCTGGTGAGTCCTCTCACCCTCTGCATCTCTGCCTGTACACCAGTTCTGTATGAATAAATAAATAAAAATCTTTAAAAAAAAAAAATAGAGAGGAAGCTCCTCCCCCCACCCCTCACCCCCGTTCTTCATGTCCCGGCTGTAGCTGTCATTCTAATAAGAATATCCTTTTACTAAGCACATATTCAGTCTTTTCTTATGTCTAATATTTCAAACCAAACATATCAAACATATGAGGTAAGTCTCTACCTATTTTATAAATAAGAAAACAGAGTCTGAAAGGTCAGGTAACTTCAAAGTCCATCTATTTTATACTTAACCAAAGTGCCTCTCCTATTTAAGTGATCTTAAAAAGCAAAAGGATAACCACACCAAATTAAGAGCAGAAGTGACCAGAGAAAAAGTGTAAACTAGGGAGGCTAACAAGGGTGACAAACGAGGTAAACACAGACATTCTAAAACTCAGAATGTCGGAGCTCCAGGGTCACTATGCTACAGGGCTGCCTGACTTGGATAAATCCAGCTCATCTCTGGGCCTCAGTTTTTTTCATCTGTAGAATGGAGTCAGTGTAGTCACTGGAATGATCCTTTTTCCAGTTCTGACACACTGTGATTTTCATTTTGAAACTAGTGGACCCAAACTTAAGTAAGGAGAGTGAAAGTGTATGCTTTCAAAAACTGCTCCAACTAAGGGAACGGCAGGTTTGGAGAGAGCCCTGGTAACTGAAACAAGGAAACCAGGGCCTACCTCATGGCACAGGGTCAGTGCTATCAAGCTATTGGCAGCCACTGCAACAAAACTGCCATCCCTAGCCAGGGAGCTGACCCACATGGCACAGCAGACCTCTTCTGTCTCGCCTGCTTCTCCCCTCAGCAATATATTTCAGTAGATCTGCATGTTCTGCACCCCCACTCTGTCTCTGATAAATCCTCTTACTTCCCCATTCCCCACAACTCTGACCTATAGGTCAGAGTTATTGTATACATGGATAAAAATAAATCTTAAAAAAAAAAAAAAAAAGGAAATCAGATGAGCCTTTCTTCCCAGGAAGATCAGAAGACAAGCCTGAACCTGCTGAGTGAGCCACACCTGCTCTCCACATTCCTTCCAAGGGCAGACCCAGGCCTGCACGTAATGCCGAGAATGGAAGTTCAGGGAAATCCTGTACTAGCTGGTTCTGGGGTCCTGTCCTCAGAAGAGGCAAGCTAGGTTTCAAGCAGATGCAAGAGGGGCTCTTCTTTGAAAGATATGAATTAGGAAGGAGTCTTGACCAGTGGTGCATTGGATAACAACCCAGAGTAGAAGCCAAAGGCAGAAGTTTTCAATTTTGGCTAGAGGACGATGTGTGATCCTGAGTTACTCAATCTCTTTGGACCTCAGTTTTCTGACAAAATAAATAAAATCTATAAGAAAGGAGAAAAATTTAAGATATAATGAACTCTGTTATCAACTACCTCATACCAATAACGCAAGAGAGATTTGTAAGTTTCATTCCACTGGCTCCAATGGATTTGAACTCAGGTTGGCCGGCCTGGGGATTACTTCCAGTCTCAAGGAAGATGATATGTGTGAAAGTACATTGTGATTTATAAGTCAATAAAGGGCAATGACACATACTTCTGAATTAGAATAATTAGAACGTATCCAGAAGTGACATTCTGATGAAGGGATGGGCTTTTTCCTTTGTCCAGCCACCCACGCAGTCCTTAATTTATTTTCTAGGCAGTCAAGTGAGAGTTTTTCAGACATTCTTGAAACAATGGCAGCCTCACAGTAACCCAGTAGCCTCTGAACATAGTAGTGTTAAGAATATTGGACTAGGAATCAAGACTAATTCCAGTTGTGTCACAGAAACATTAATCTTGTTGAGAAGCCACTAACCCTTTCATCTGTCAAGTGAGGGTTCAGTTAGAGGTGACTGCCAGAGATCCTTTGCGTGGGTAATTCAGTGACTCAGGGATGGAAAGCACCAAGGGAGTGGAGTCTCACTCATACTTAGCATTCCCATTCTATCCTCAGGCACTTGGGCCCTCCTTCAGTGGGGAAGTCAGCCCACATCCCTAGTTAAGCCTCTTTCCCCTAGTTAAAACTGGTGAGAGGATGCTTGGGGCCTGCAGGGAGTGTCTAGCATACGGTTATAGGATCTGAGCTCGTTGGCTGTTATAAAGCAGCAACTCCACCTGCCACACCAGCCACAGCCCAAGCTGGAAAGCAATGGCCAAGAGCTACATTCCGTGACATTCTTACTGGTGTTTCAATGTTGAGGGGTAAGGTATAAACCTATGTAGGGGTGGAGGAGAAAGCTGAGACGGATTCCAGGGGGAAATACTCAAGTCCTGGCTTTAGCTATTGCAGTGGTCAATAGCAACCATTTCCTTCTTCCCACAAAGCTTTGTGCCAGCTGTTTTGCATAACTGCCAGTAACTCCTTACCCTCAGTTACCTCCCAGCAACCTTCCAACACACCCTGCTTCACATAGGAGTATGAGTGAAAGCAAGGAGCTAAGCATGAGGAGGCAAGTTGCTAAGGCAGGGTCCTCCCTGGTGGCACAGCAGGTTAGGATACAGCACTTCAAGCTGGCTGCAGCAGCTTCAGTGCAAGTTTGCTCCCTGGCCCCAGAGGTGACCCACATGGCGCAGCAGACCTCTCCTGACCTGCCCACTGCTCCTCTCAGCTGTGTACTTTGTCGATCTGCCTGTTCTGCTCCCCACTCTGTCTCTGGTGAACCTCTCACTGCCCCTGCACCTCTGGCCTGTACCCCAGTTCTGTATGCATAAATAAATCTTAAAAAAAAAAAAAAGTTTTAAAGGCACATTACGAATCAAACCTAAGAATAACCTATATGCCGGGTGTGCGGTGTAACAGGCTCACACAGAAGCAGCATCCAGGACCCTACTGCCTGGCTGTGGCTGTGTGAAAAAGGCATTTCACCTCTCCTAGACAGACCCACCCACACTACAGTAAGTGAACAGCCAATGTGTCCACAAGAATGTAGCTGCTAGTTACAGGAGAGTGGTATACACAGGAAGTAATTGCGCCTAAAAAAGGAAGGGGCTTTTCCACTGGTTTTGTGATAGCCTGAGGCTAGTTCTAATCGCAACTCTCAGAGCCCCCTCCGGTAGCTTGAGGGAGTTTTCCAAGTCCTTTATTTAGAAAGGCCAGAATTCAAACCAGCCTGACACCTTGTCTCAGTAAAGTCCAGAGACCATATGGAATGCCTGCTCCTGCAAAGAAAAAGTTAGTACTTAAAACAAGAAACCCAAAACATAGAAAATGAGGGACGACCAAAGTGACATAAATCTGGAGAAGTTTTCACAAACTCCACCTTTCCGTTTGTGCCTTTTCCATATTTTATTAAATTCGTACTTTTTAAAAAAAAAATCACAGCAGCATTATCAAAGACAACCTATGTACAAACATTTTACAAAAGAAACGTTACTAATATCAGCTGTATTTAGGGAAAGCTGAAGAGTAGACGCAGGTTCCCCGGCCGGCTCTGCCCTCACAGACATGGAAAATGTGTTCGGGTAGCTGAGAAACGCTTCATTCGCGGGACCTGCATTATGTGGTCGCAAATTGAGACGGTGGTGAAGATACTAGGCAGGCAATTAGCAAATGCCTCTTTTCATCAGGAAGGCCAGGGTACCATGGAGCGGATCAAATAACTTAAAGCCCAAGACATAAAAAACGATGTTTCCCATCTAAATGCATGTTAAGCCTTCAACATCGAGGGCTCTTTTTGCAAACCACGCTGGATTGTCGCATAGGTACTAGTTTCTTAACCCTATGCCAAGCCTTTCTTAAGGCTTCGACTCAGGATTCTTGTTGGACCGAAAGGGAAGGAATTTTGGAAATGTTTCCTTCAAGACAGAATTCAGACAGAGATGACCTTGAGGCAAAGAGTTATTACATTTGGTGAGGTGGGGTAGGAGGCAGGAATTTGGGGATGGGGGTGGGGGAGAAATCTCCTTTGGGCCTAGAATCAAGATGCTTAACTCGCTTGGCTCTGGAACCACGCTAAAATCGGGTACCGTCCCCACCCCCAGCCCTGCCGGTACCTACAAACTGGGTTCCTTTCTCAACTCCCCTAGTTCCTTGATCTCCACCTTCTTGTACTTCCCGGACCTCCTCCGGTTGGTGATCACCAGGACCGCAATGCAGGCGGCGAGGGCCAGCACGACCACCACGATGACGGCGATGAGGCCCGCGGTGAGGCGCTTCATGGAGAACTGGGGGGGCTTCTCGTCCAGGTAGTAGATGAGCGTCCGCTCCACGGTCAGGGGCTGACCGCGCACGCGCATGTCGAAGTCGCCTCTGCCCTGGAACAGCGACTCGCCCTTAACGTCCCTCTCGAAGTAATAGGCGGCGTCGGCGATGTCCACGTCGCTAGGGGTCTTTTGCGAAGAGTTCTGCCTCAGCTCGATCTGGATGGTGGGCTCCTCGTAGTGCACCGCCGCCACGAATCTGGGGTGCAGGCGGTAGCGCTCTCGGAAAAGCCGCCGCAGCTCGGCGTCCAGGTCCGAGTGGTTGAAGGCGCGGGCGGCCGGGCGGTGGCGCAGGTCGATAAGGATGTGGTGGGTGCGCACCAGCTCGTCGCAGCGCAGGTTCAGGTCGCCCTTGTCGGTGCGGCGCACGCCCACCGAGTTCACGCACCAGCACACCGACGTCTGGTTGCACTGGCGGGCCTTGAAACGGCCATCGTGGTCGCAGTCGGGGTTGTACAGGCCGTCGTTATCCACGATCGCGTGCTCGCTCGGCTTCACCAGCCCGCGGCCGGCCTTGGGGGCGCTCATGCGCGCCTTGAGCAGCAGGCACTTCGAAGTCAGAGTGGAGCAGTTGACCTCAAAGTTGGTGCCGAGCGCCCGGCAGAGGCAGCGGCCACGGCCGTCCAGTTCGCACACGGTCATCTTGTTGGTGGGACACGTGCAGTTGTGCTGCGCGGCCGCGTAGCCGGTCACCGCCACCAGCACCAGCAGCAGCAGCAGCGGTCGAGATGGCACCGCGAGGCCGGGATCTCCCGCCATGGTGGGGTGGAGAAGCGCGGTCCAGACGTGGGAGGACGAAGCGCGGGGGGCGCAGCTGGGGAGAGCTCGGCCGTCTGGGACACTCTCCCGGCGTCTCCCGCCGGCCTCTCCCTCCCGCTGTTATACTCCGCTGGACTTGCCCGACTGGTTCGGCCGCCGACTCACCCGCTGGTATTTGGGTGACACATCCCGCCCCCCGTCCCCGTCCCACGGAAGGCACAGCCTACCCCGCGCGATAGGATCAGGGGAGCGGAGGCTTCTCCCGCCTCCTCCAGACCGAAAGCCCGGGAGAGGAGAACCGATACTCACCTGCGGGCTGCGAGGGTCCCGCCCCCGTCCGCCCAGCCATACCTAGCCAGGGATCCGCCCTCGTCGCGGTTTCCAACCGCGAGCTTTGAGCTTCCGGCCCCTCTCCGGGGTTGGAATTCTCAGGAATTTCATTGAAATGCCGGGCACACAGCTGTCCTGCCTTGTCCCTCCTCCTTCCTCCCTTTTTTCCTGTTTCCCAACCCTTATCCTTGCTTTAAATTCTTTGGCTCCTCGATTCTTAGTTCTCTTAACATCACACATTCATATGTAGTTTACAGTTTACAAACATCTCATTCTCTTCTCAGTCCTGCAGGTTATGGAGTGTCTAGCAGACCCACTTTGAGGTCTTAAGTGCCCGCCATTAGTTTCCTCAGGATCCCGGGAGGCGTCTTGGCTTCTCGAATTCCGACTGACTCTTCGGGAACCTTTAAATGGGTGCTTATGGGAAAGGAGTGCGGCCGAATCTGCACTTTCTGCACTTTCTGTTAGGGGAGCGGTTCTGAGTAAATCTCAGGCATCCTAGTTTGCACGGTATCAGGGTTCCCCTAAATATTTCCCACCCCCAAATTTATAGATATACGCAGTATACGGGGAAGAAAAATGGAACACATTTTTGAAAAGAACGAGGAAGTTTGCAAGACATTCTTGGTACAGCTTGGTTCTAAAAGAGCAAATTGTTACTTTTTTCTGAGTCCCATATAAGTTGCTGAAGCAAGGCAAATAATGAGAGAATGGAACTTGTGGGAATTTGCTTGTCTGCCTCCATGTGGCTACTTTAATGGACAGAGGGGTTGCGATCTCTTTTTTGAATCACTGAGAAAGTCCAAAGTTTCAAAGCTGTGGTAAAATTAACAATAATTAGCAAGCTATAATTATTCCCTGCTCCTCCATCAAAGCACATTTTATATGTTCAGCATGTAATGAACACCAGCAGTAGTACAAGGGTGTTTTTAACACATGAAAGCAAGCCCGGCCTCTGCCCCATTAATTTTCAAGCAATTCCTGAGGCAGGTGGATGGACATATATCATTCTGTCTTTACAGGTAGAGAAAGCAGAAACACATTGGGTGGGGGGGCAATTTTTTTCACCCACAAACACCAGGCCTGGCTCCAACACTCCCCTGCTCACTAAGCCCCACTGTCTTCATTCTGTCCATCTACCAATCATCAGTGTCTTTTCCCCTTCCTACCTCCAGTCCATTCTGAGTCAGAGAAGACTTCCTAAATCACAGCTCTGTAGTCACCTCCTTTCTGCTAAAAACACTTCAAGCACAGATTGACTGGAGGTCAGGAGCAGAGAGGTGGTGCCCTTTGCACTTAGGATAAAAGTCATACTTCATAAGTTAGCACACAAATCATACTGTATCTTAGCCAAGAAATTTAACTTCTCTGGACTTTATTTTCCTCATCTGTAAAAATGGGATAATAAAAGTGCACTTAGGATAAAAGTCATACTTCATAAGTTAGCACACAACTCATACTGTATTTTAGCCAAGAAATTTAACTTCTCTGGACTTTATTTTCCTCATCTGTAAAAATGGGATAATAAAAGTGCCTACCTAGGAAGGTAAGTGTGAGAATTAACGTTCGATAAACCACTTAGAACATATCTTTGGCCCTTCCTAGTGGTGCAAGGGTTTAAAGCACAGCACTATGGAGCTATCCACATCCACTGCAGCGTGAGTTCAGTCCCCAACCAGGGAGATGACCTACATGACACAGCAGACCTCTCTTGTCTCCCTCACTGCTCCCCTCAGCAGTGTGTTTCAATCGATCAGTTCTGTTCCCCACTCTGGTCTCTGGTAAATCCTCTCACCCCTGCACCGCTGGCCTGTACCCCTGTTCTTGTGTGCATAAGTTAAAAAAAAAAAAAGATAGAGAAACAACAGTATCTGTTCTAACAGTGTCTGCACTGAATAAACAGGTAGGTGTCAGCTACCGTGATGGTCATCATCTTTACTTCATCTGGTTCCAGCCAGCCTCTCTAGTCCTTATGTTTTCAAACCTTAGTGAAATCATCTCTGAGGATTATTCCCTTCATGTATTTAGTGCAAGATTGTGTTTCTTCTACTCAGCTCTTGGGTCACCTCCAGGAAGCTTCCCTGATAGGCCATCCCTATTGTACTGAGGAGAGTAACACTAACTTTTCTGAACTTCTATTCACCTCTCTGTAAAATAAAATAATAACATCTCTGGTTCATAGATGATCCTGCAAAATCAAATCTCAATTAATGAGACAGTAGATTCTAAAGCTTTGTAAACTATGACTAAAAATGTTAGGTTTTGTGTGTGTGTGTTTTTTTTTATATATATATATCTAACCTACCTTCTCACTTTTCCAGCTACTGCCTAGATAGCTACAATCCTCTATAACTGGCAGGACCACCTGTTTGATATTCCAAAGGGCCCTAGATTGGCAAGAGGAAAGCTGATGGGGAAGGGACCTCAGGGCTGAGGAATATAAACAGTGATGTTACTAGGTAACGAGCAAGGACAGCCTCAAATGACTGGCCCTTAGTCAGTCCTCGAACTTCTACTTTTCCATCCATGCCCCATGTTAGCAGGAAGGGGACAGAAAGAGCCCATTTTCACTATTTTCTTTAGAAGATGGATAAATTCTCACACATGAAACGAAGAGGAACCACACCAACACACACACACACACACACACACTCAGTCTTAAATTTTGTGTTTCCAACACCACAATGAATTCATTATCTAACAACCCAGCTCTGATTTTTCTTAGTTGTATTTCCTGCCAAAGTCCGCAGAATGTCACTTATTAGCTTCATCTCCTTGTATCTTTTAAGTTTTCAAACATTTACAAAAGCGTTTCATGAACTTGGGCTTGTCAAGTATGTATGGGGCAGGAACCACACCTAATCCCTATAACCCCAGTGCAGGCATATATTAGGCACCCAAAAATGCTGACTGGGTTCATTAACACTGAGTCGTGCCCTGAAAGTCACAGTATCCGTCTGTCTTCTAGGAGTATCAGTCTGTCTCTTAGGAGTGATATCAATTCTTCTTTCTTAGTATAATTCTCATTACCTGCTGGAGACATGAGCCACTGTCCTACCTCAGGCCACTCTCCATGCATTCCATTTAAAGGAAGACTAGATTATGATACTCGATTATGCCACTCTTACTTTGAGGCACCGTCCTAAACTAATAAGTCTGTAGGAAGGAGGATGTTCTATGAGGTTGGGAGCAGACAGAAATTCTGTGGACCAGCAGTATAATGCAGCTGAAGGAAAATGGGCTTTGAACATAATCTAAATATGCTAAGTTTGCACCATAAATTCATATTTCAAATGAATGCCACCTTTCTAAGAGATAATGTGCAAAATTTGTAATTAGCCACCATTCCTCTGCTAACCAAAATTGAAACTGCATCCCTCTTTACTCCAATTCATTATTCTGTGAGTTCATTTTTTCCTTTCAGTTCCATGAATGACCAATTCATAAGCTTATCCTTCAGGCAGACATTGCCACCAGAGCCCATGCCTACATAACATGTGAACGTTTGCATTTGCCATACTGAAAATGACTCAGATATTTCTCTGTAATCTTCAGAGTGTTTTAGGAGTTAATGTTTTATTAATGTGTAGACTCTGAAGTTTTCCACTGTAAACATTAATAAAATTTCAGTTACATATGTATCTGAAAAAGGAAAACAGCATTTGGATCCAGTGATACTTCTGCTCAAATTCTAATTTCACAACATTCAGAGGCTGTATGGTTTTGAGCAAGTATGCCACCTCTCTGAGCCTCAATTTCTTTAATTATAAAATTAAAGACTAATGCCTACATTTCTTCAAAGTCTGTGAAAAGGGTGATTTCCCAGCTTGTTTTTAAAAACATGCTTTCCCCTCTCCCATTTAGCTCCATATTTATTCTATTCTTGTGCTCTGCTTTCTAAACTAGTGTTTTATCTGATTTTCCCTTTGTATAAGGACCAACACATCAGTTTTATATTTAAGGGTGTGACTTATATAAACAAAACACACAAAATAAAACTGATTAAGAAAAAAATATCATCATCATTAGCTTCATGATTAAAGATAAAGAATATAAAACACACAACCCAGTGTTTGGCATGTACTAAGTAGAATTAAGCTTAACTATTATCATCAGCCATCTCGGGAATGTGGGGATGCTTTGAAATCACTGAAGGTGGAGATTGTGGGGATTGCTGAACATCAATCAGGTCTAGGTGATGGGGTAGGGGACTCAGCCAAAGCCCTCATCATCCCCAATGTCCTCCTAGATCCAGGAACCTGGAGAATTGAGAAGTTACTGTATTAACATTTCTACTGCCACTGTGTGCTGGGATCCCTCTAACACCCCCTGGGGAGTAGGCTGGAGAGATATTACTATCCCATTTCCACATGTGAAAACAGCGACCTTGAGTGTAGACAAGGATTTGTTCATAGGCACATGCTTACAGGGGGTCAGGTGAGACTAGAATCCAGGACTCCTGACTGAATGAACATACAAATTAACAAAGATACAAGCGAGTTGAAGGGATGAAGTGGTGAGAGACTCATTCCATTTCCCCAGTTTTTCTTTGCTTATTCTTTTCTTGACTATACAAGTATTTTTTTAGGAGAGTCTGATTTCTGGCCCTCTCTGGCGGCACGACAGATTAAAGTACAGCACTGCAAAGCTAGATGCAGATGCTTCAGCACCAGTTCGATCCCAGGCCTGGGAGCTGACCCATGTGGTGCAGTAGACCTCTCCTCTCCTGTCTCTTCTGCTACTCCCTCAGCAGTGTACTTGGTCAGTCTGCC